ATGGTGAAAGCAGTGACATTGCTGCGATGACAGGATGTTCTTTATTGCATTGGGATTGCTCTCAAGTTGAACTTGAAGTGGTGAAGGGCCTTGCCACTTTAATCTCGGCACGGATGCTTGAATCCAAGGGTATAATTGTGGAAGGTGACAATGCTAATGTTATCAACCTTCTTCATGAAAGCACAAAGGATATGAAATGGAGGACACTTCAAGATAAGGGTTCTGATATAGCTATTCTTTTAAATTTTAAGCAAGTTCTCTTTATTTGTGTTAATAGAAAATTTAACAAAGCAGCCAATTTTTGTGCTCGGCTTGCTTTGAATAGTTCTTTTGTTTGGGATAGTCACACTTGTGACCCAGTTTTTTTTAGGGTGGTGCAGGAAGATGCCCACCACTCTGTTTCTTTTGTGTAGTTGTTATGGCTCTATTTTGTACCTTTTGTTTTTCATAGTAATGGAAAATGCACATCTTTCAAAAAAAAAAAAAAGAAATTCAGGATCTTATCTCTAATAATATATCACATATTGAAAAAACACATGTACAAGTCCTCAAACCATTTTCAACAAATACAACTCTCCCAACCAAGACCTAAATCCAATCTCCTTCATTAAAGCTCTCAAGCACCCTTGGGAGTTTGGCTTCCCAAGCTACCCACACACCCTCCAATAACTTCCTCATAATTGTCCTACACCGTAAGAAATAATCACCTCCATCATTTCACTAGAAGTCCAAATGCCACAACATTATTTGACATTAGAGAAGAATCTATTCCAACGCTTGTTTAAACATTAAGAGTAGGGTTGTTAATATTCGATTTCGAGTCCAGCTGAGGTCGGCTCAAAATCGGCTAGAAAAAAATTTAATCCATAATTTTGGCTCGTAGCTCGGCTCGATTATTCGATCTGAGCCAAAATTCGAATCAAATTTTAAGCGATTAACGATCTTCGAGCTAAATTCGCTAAATTCACAGGCATATGTTGTTAACGATCCAATTCCAAGCAAACTGAGGTCGGCTCAAAATCGGCTCCAAAAAAATTGATCCAAAATTTTGGCTTGCAGCTCGCCTTGTTAATTTTGATCCGATCTCGATCTTAGCCAAAATTCGAATCATTCTTCAGGCGATTAGCGATCTTCGAACTAAATTCACAGCCCTATTTAAGAGGGCGAGTTGATGCATCACAAAGATATGAAATTTATGGAATTATTAGAATATTAGAAGGCAAAGCCAAACTAGTGGACCATCTCCTCCAAATGTTGCTTGAAAGCATAAAAGTCTTAGCTACATTCATTTTATTAATATAGTTATAGTTTTATATTATAACTAACAATTTTTACACAGGAAATAGTGGCTCCAAAAATTCACTTCATTGCAGTTTTATATTATAACTAACAATTTTTAAACAGGAAATAGTGGCTCCAAAAATTCACTTCATTGCAAGTTATAGTTTTATATATATCATTTCACTAGAAGACCATCTCCTCCAAATGATCTTTATAATAGATTAGATACTAAGGAGGGTGAAAAATATATGTATAAACTAGCCAAACAAAGAGAAAAGAAAAGTAAAGATTTAACTCAAGTAAAGTGTATTAAAGATGAAAATCAAAAAGTACTTTTCTTAGAAAAAGATATTCAACATAGGTGGGTGAGTTACTTTGATAAACTTTTTAATGAAGTTTCTGAAAATACGATCGACCTTAGTGATTTTAATATCGTGAATAATAATAAAACGTTTCATTTTTACCGTCGCATTAGCAAAAAAGAAGTTGAGGAGACTTTAAAGAAAACCAAGGGTGGAAAGTCTAGGACCTGATGATATCCCAATTGAAATGTGGAAATATTTCGGAGATTTGGGAGTTTCTTGGCTTACTAAACTCTTTAATATTATTTTAAAAACTAAAAAGATGCCTGAGGAGTGGAGGAAGAGTATTTTGGTCCCCATTTTTAAGAATAAAGGGGATACACAAGAGTGTGCAAATTATAGAGGAATTAAGTTGATGTGTCATACTTTAAAATTATGGGAGAGGGTAATTGAACATAGGTTAAGACGCATCACAAAAATTTCTCATAATCAATTTGGATTTATGTCGGGCAGGTCTACTATGGAAGTTATACATTTATTGAGAGGTTTGATGGAGAAGTTCAGAGATAATAAGGAGAATCTACATTTGATTATTATTGATTTAGAAAAAGCTTACGATAAGGTTCCAAGAGATATCCTTTGGAGAGTTCTCGAGAAGAAATGTGTTGATATGACTTATATTCAAGTCATTAAAGATATGTATACTAGAGCTGTTACTTGTGTTCAAACTGAAGGAGGATTGACAAAATATTTTACTATTTCTGTTGGTTTACATTAGGGATCGACTTTAAGCCCATATATTTTTGCTTTAGTTATGGATGGTCTTACTGGACATCTACAAGAGGATGTACCTTGGTGTATGCTTTTTGCTGATGAT